TATATAAAAAAATTTAAATAAATCTGAAATTTCCGACAAATATGTCTTGTGTATGAAAAACTTATTAGCTGCGTTGATTTTTACCGTTATTACACTATAAATAAATTCAGAAACTAATAACGGAAAATATCAAAATATCATATAACCAACGCGCGCATATTTTACTATAGAAAAATATGTGTTTTTGTGTGAAATTAGCCGGTAACAGGAAGTGATAAATTCAATTCCTTTGAAATACCTGTGTATAATTTTATTATGAAAATAATTTACAAACAAGTTTTGCAATTCACATGCATAAATGTGAATTCGAAACAAACTCAATGACTTTTTTCGTGTTGTAATATTCTTTTATGGCTTTTTGAAATGTTGCTACATACAACAGCAGCAGTCAAAAGTGCTGTGTTACGTATACGCCACGTCGCACCGTGTGTATACGTGCATATAACGCTTAGCAAACAAGCAAGTACATACATATGCCATTATATATGTATATATAAAATTGAATATTGAGAATTTAGCTTCAACTAATACATATGTATGCAAATTTTATATATATTTGTTTGTGTGTATAACTTGATGAACTATTTTACGTTTCAATTCAAAGCAATTTGTATATTAAAGTGTTTCGCTTTTTTCTTTTTTTTTTTAATTTTTAAATCAGCTATTTGCTCAACTGCTCAGTGCGAGTAATTGCTAGCTCTTTTAATCACTCGCATGTGATATATGTGTTATTCTACTGTTATTTGCATACAATTTTTATACATTTATGTATTGTTATTTGTATATATTTGCTATTGTCTGTTTGTTTTTGTTTTAATTCGTTTAAGTGCTGCTCGCTCCGAAAATATCTGAATTCACTTTGTGGTTGCTATTTTACTTGTATTTCCATGTTCGTATACCCTTGCTAACCACTTATGTGCTTTACTTACGTGTACTCCTCTTCATCGGACATGGTTATGGTTTGGGATTAAGAAACCTGCAAAGCAAAAAGAATTTGCGTTAAAGTGTGTTGACATTGAGTGTAAGGATTAAATTGCATTAAATTGAGTTGAATGCAACTTTATTAATATTTTAATAGTTGGCTTGCTTGAAAATAAATTTCAATATTTCATATTCAATGAAGATTTTGGTGTTTCAAGTTGCATTTTAAGTGGAATTTTCAAGAAATTGTGGTTGCAGAATAAACAGAAATTTTTTTTAAGGAATAAAAAAATTTAGAATGAGAGAAAAAATTATATAACAAAAAAGATGTACAGAATACAAAAAAAAAATTTTTTTCTTGATTTATTGATTTGATTTTTCTTGATTTTATTTCGTTCAGAAAAAAATAATACTAAAACAAATTACATTTGTTTCACATATAATTTAAAATTTCCCCCCTTTTTATTTTTATTTTTATTTAATATAAACATTTCATATTTTTTACTTGCACAATTGGCTACTTCAGCACTAATTTCGTGTATTTGCAAAAAAGTATATATCCAGCAGAAAATTTAAAATTAAGAAAAAAACTTATGCTTTAAACGAGCTTTTTAAACAATGAAATATGCTTTAAAATAGTCTGAATATAACTAGAGCCTCAATTAGACAACTCGAAATTAAGCTATATATATACGTTTCCGACTACTTATTTATAAATATTAAGCAAAAAGCTAGATAAATGATAGTTCATTTAATGCATTATTTAACATTATAATACAAAAGATAATTTATGAAAAAAATTTCGGAAACAAAATTAACAGAATTAAAAAGGGAAACAGAATTCAATATACTAACTACAGAAACCGAGTTACGAAGAAAAACAGTTAAATTTTGTCATTTACATTATCTTTTGTGTAATATGGTATACATGCGACCATATTTCAGTTTTTTTATATCATATCATCATATGAAATTCTAATTTTTTCACAATTCAGTTTCTGTTGTTGAAAAACTGAATATGTATGTGTTGTTTCAACTACAGAAACAGAATTAAGAAGCAAATTAGTTTTTCATATGCAATTATGATACTAATTGCTTTTCTAAATCATATTTTTCCCCTCCCTGATTAGTGCCGAAATTTCGTGATTTTAGTTTTATAATCCCGAAACCGCTTGAAGGCAGAATAAATGTGTGTATTTACTACAGAAATGTAGAAAAAATTTGCTTATATGAAAATAAATTATTTCTGAAACATATTTTTGCTGACCTTCTGATTAATACCGAAATTTCGGTACTTGAATTTAACAATCCCTTCGGGACTCGGAAGGATTATTTTTGCTTCCAAATATGTTTGATTAAACCTAAACCTTTCTAACAAACCGAATTTTCGGGATTTAAATTTAACGATGCCGATATTTTTCGGGACTTTGAAGAATTATTTTTGCTTGTAAATATTTTTGACTTAATAAGTGCTTATCAGTTATTTTTCAGATTTTATAATGATTTTAACACTATTTTCCTTTTTTTAAGGATCAAATCGAATTAAAATAATAAAAAAAAAACATATGATAGTTAACCTTATGATGTCCAAAAGTTACTATGACAATCTTTACATGTAAAAAACCGTTTTGATGAAAACTAAGAAATTGTAAAAAGCAATAACCTAAAAAACCGGATATAAACAGGTATGTACACTATTATTATAATTATTATTTTTTATTTTAACAGTATTTATAGTAATTTGGATAAGAAGAACACTGGCAGTTATTGCTGCAATTTGCTGTTAATTCATTGGATCCAAATTAGCTCAGTGTGCTTTAAGGCGCACTTCCATATAACTGCTATAATCAGTTTTCAATATACAGTTGAGTTTCCATAACTCGAATTTCTCCATAACTCGAACTCTTCAATTGGCAATGGGAGTCAAATTTCATACAATTTTCCTGCCATAACTCGAAGTCTCTTTAACTAGAAGTTTTTATGTGGATTTTGGTGATTCCAGTAAGGGAAGTTCAACTGTATTTATTAAATGGGGAATGCGAAGAAATTTCCGATAATTCTCTTCTACCAGAAGTCTGAGAAATCAAATCACTTACTAAACCGCAATTTATGCAATTTCTAAAAATCCAATTGGAAGCCTTCATTCAGTCTATTGAAGCACGAAAAACTAACACTTCTTTTCCATAATTTATATTGAGTCTTTTAAGCATAGCCATAATGACCTGTGGCATATAAAAGCAAACTCAGTTTTGTTAACCACCATTTTGCTTACCTAAAGTACACTCACATACCCACAAACGTATCCATATTCTCATAAATGAAAGCAATCATATAAAGTGCATATTTCGCACATAAAAGTCAAGCCAAAAACGACCGAACGCTTGCTAGCTATTCGAGGCGAGAAATTCACATACTTTCAGTAGCAACTTGTATGCATACCCTCATCCATACATATGTATGTGCATGCATGATACATATGGATATTTGCATATGCTCGCAGTTTGCTCAGCGAAATGGTTGGCGAAATTCGTTTGAATGCATTTTTAATTTGTTTTATTTACGCCGGCGGCAACAGACAAGCAAAGTAAACAATTTTCACAAATTTTCTAAAATATTTGCTATCAAAAGTTTTGTGCTAACGCGTCACATTTGAAAATAAACGGTAAACCAGGCATACCTGCGCACACACGCATACAACCAAATACACATACAACTACAACTACAAAGAGGAAATCCAACCACGAAGCTACAACAGTGTTGTTGTTGTCGTTGTTGGCGCTACTGCTGCTCATTATCAAATATTCCCCAGATCCACAAATGCGTTTGCACGCTCGTTTATATGTATAAATGTGTGTGTTTGTGTGCGTGTGTGCATGTGTTGGCACAAAATCACTGCACATGAATATTTACAAATACACACAAATATACATTTATAAATATTTTAAACATATTTTCACGTATTCTCTATAAATTTATATGAGTTCGTTTACGTATTCACGTGTGGCTGTGTATGTGGCTGGCGTTGTGTGCGTGCGTGTGCTCGTTTCAATCCCTTGAGTGTGTGCATAAATGAGATTTTATATATGATTTTGTATAACTTGTCGCTGTTTATTCGGCGCCAAAGCATAATACTTATGCAAATAACACAACTACCAACTAAAACACACATATGAAACACACACACTCTCAGAAACATAAGCAAATGCTTGAATATTCATTGCTGAGGAAAATATGTTTTTTTGTTTATATATATTTGGTGTATATTTAAAAATAGATCGTATTGAATTTCCACAAGTTGAAAAGCTTCACGAAAGAGCGCAAAAGTATGTGCATAAAGTGAGAGAGGGTGGGAGAGTGGGTGAGTTGGAGGCGAGAGCCAGCAGCAGGAAGCGCAGTGCTCAGTGTTATTGGGTAATAACGAATTAAATGCGCATAGCAAAGCACTCAGCGCTTGATGAGTTGATCTTTTCACAGGTGATATATCACGCATACCTGTTTATGTTTATGTACGTGTAAATGTTTCTGTGTGTGTGGGTGTATAAACTTTTGGGTTCTGTGTTAATTGCCGCAAATGTGTGCTGTGTGCTCACACTTTTGCCGGGTGATTCGACATTGAGCGGCGAAAATAGCTCATTGCGTGGGTGTGGAAAATTCTTGTGGTGCGGTGTTTTCTGAAATGTTTCTTGGGTGGATTTGAAAAAATAGCATATAAATGTGAACATATTTAATTACTGACCTCTTGTTTGTGGGGAAAATATAATTTCTGCTTTTTTTTGTTTTTTTACAATTTATTAAATACAACGCTTCGATAAAACAAAAGAAGAATTCAACATGATATTTGATCTAACCGCGCAACATTTCTGAAAAACTAAGGCTTCTGTTCAAAAAATGCATAAAGATTTGGAAAATAATATTTTTCAAAATAATTTTTATAAAATTAAGAAAAAAATAAATCGCCACTATGAGTTATATATATATATATTATATTTATATAATAATTTTCAATAAGAGGTATTGCAAAATGTAAAATTACAGTAATATTTCAATAACAAGTTTTTTCTAAATTTCTTAAATGATGAAATTGAAGTGCAATTTTTATAACAAAAATAATGAAGAAATATTCATTTAAATTTCTATAGTAAAAATTATCAAGCAAAAATATGGAAATATTAAAACACTTCGTATTCGTGTAAATAGACTTGTTTGAAGTATTATTTCAGAAAAATTTTAAGTCTTAAACCTACGGAACCAATTTTCAGAGTTTTTACAAACAATTTATTTTGTTCCATTTGGGGTATTCACTTTGAGTCATAAATTGGACTTAAGCTTTCAAAATGTAAAAATATATGATATTATAAAATTTAAAAGCAGCAAAACATAATTAAAAAATCAAGAGATATTTTTTCCTGATTTTCGAAACAAAAAACCTGGACTTTGATTTTTTTTTTCAAGTTTTCATAAAAAAAAAGTTATTCGTTTTTTTTCTGAACTTTTTGTTTTCCAAAAATAAATATTTTAAAGCGAAATAATTTCTTTGATTTTTTTACGATTTTTTTTGCAAAAAAAAATATTTTTATTTTGTAATTTTCAAACAAGCCTATTTAATTTTTTTCTTACAATTTTCTAAAAGCCTTAAAATAATATTCTTCTTTGCTTTCTTCTTCTTCTTTCTTTCTTTGATATTTCACGAAATCTTTGTTAAAAAATTACTAAAATTTTGAAAAAATAAAGAAATATTTTGAATTGAAGGAATTTTTAAAATTTTTTTTATGAATTCTTGATTAAAAAAATAATCAGAAAAAAATTATTTAGGTTAATTGACTTCGCAAATT